ACAAAGGCTGAAAGAAAACTTTTCCAACAATCCAGGAAAAACAGAAGAGTCATTAGATAATAACAATAGGAGAATAACAAAAATTATAAAAGAAACAGCAGAACAGATAATAGTCCCCCTAGAGAACACGCCGGAAAAACTGTCGATAGAAACGAAACAGCTACTAGAGAAAAGGAGAACACTGATAACCTATTGAATACACAGAAACCAACAAAACAGCAAGAAAAATGGCGAAACAGGATATACTAAAACATCAAAAGAAACAAGTACAATCCCTATTAGAACAGAACTAAGGACTAAATATATTTAAAAGACATAACACACCTAAGAGAGAGATAACAAAAATAAAAGATGCGAAAAACAACATAGTAGAAGACAGACAACAGATGTTAAAAGTTGTGGAATCTTTCTATAGAGATCTGTACGAATCTAAAATAGCAAACACGAGGACAAAAGAAGATGAAATACGAATAGTAAATGCAAACTCAGAAGAAATGCCGGACATAAATATGGAAGAACTGGAGAAAGGGTTATTCCAGATGAAAGATGGTTAAGCGGCAGGAGAAGACAACATTCTGCCTGAAATGCTCAAGGCAAGCGATACTAAGACGAGACAAGAACTAGTGAAACTATTCAATAAGTGCCTAACAGAAAAACATATACCCAAAGATTGGAAGAATGCTGTAGTTGGTCTGATCTACAAGAAAGGCGACCCGACTGATGTCAAAAACTACCGGCCGATAAACTTACTATCACAGATATATAAATTATTCACCAGAATAATCACCAATAGATTAGAGCGAAAACTCGAAGTCTACCAGCCAAAGGAACAGGCCTTTATAGCACGACAGAACATCTACACACAGTAAGGCAGATGATCGAGAAAGCTACAGAATATAATATAAACCTATGGATGGCTTTTGTCGATTTCCGAAAAGCCTTCGACACAGTAGAAATCTGAGCAATAATAAAATCCTTGAGAAATGCCAGAGTGGATCAACATTATGTAAACCTTATTGAAAACATCTATAGGACCTCGACAATGTCGATGAGACTTCATGAATCATCTAACAGAATAAACGCCAAAAGAGGAGTTCGAAAAGGGAACGCCAAAACTATTCACTTTGGTGCTCGAGGATATTTTTAAAAAGCTACAATGGGAAAACAAAGGATTGAATATACATGGTGAACGCTTGCACAATCTAAGATTTGCCGACGATATTGTACTATTTGCAAAAGACAAACAGGAATTGATGGATATGTTGGAAGATCTACAGGATAAGGCGGCAAAAGTAGGATGACACATGAACTACACGAAGACCCAGTTTATCACAAATACACCAGATGCAGACGAAATACTACCGATATACCATGACTGCACAATAAAAAAGACAGAAACATACATATACTTTGGCCAAGCTATAACACCGGGCAAACAAAATCAAGAAATGGAAATTGATAGGAGAATTAGATTAGGCTTACGGCAAATTAAAGTACATCTTGAGCATGAATATCCCAAGGACTTTAAAATCAAAAGTCTATAACGAGTGTATACTGCCTGTTGTCACGTATTTGGAAGTACATCAGAGAGCCATGGAAAGACGAATTTAAGGAATTTTCCTGAGAGACCACAAAACAAATACATGGATAAGGAAAAGAACCAAAGTCTCCAACATAATAAAAATAATTGGTTCCTTAAAATGACAATGGGCAGGACACGTGGCCAGACATACAGAAAACTGGAGCGGGTATATCACTAGATGGAGACCTTGGGAAGAGAGAAGTGTTGGAAGACCCCAATAAAGATAGTACGACGAGATAAAGAAGGTCGCAAGCTTGAATTGGTACCGAGCTGCGCAAAACCGAAGACAATGGTCAAATTTGAAAGAGGCCTACTTCCTAAGGATAGAATTGATAGAAAACCGCTAAAGGTAGAAGATAGATATAATATGTATAACGATTTCCAACCTTAGTAAATTCGTTGTATCACCTAAGTGTCGAGATAACGACAACTTTAACATGATACCCTAGATCCTTGTCCTAAGTTTCGCTTGACTGACCGCGCTATATTTATGTACATAAATATTGTAATCAGTTGTCCAAAAACGGGCTTTAGTAAATTCAGAGAATTTTTCCGGCGCTGGCTCTCCGTCTATACGCAGTGGTTCCCAAAGTGGGCGATAACGCCCCCCAGTGGGCGCTACAACCATCTCGGGGGGCGGTGAAGAGCTCAGCTGATTTTGGAGGGCGGTGAGCACAAATTAGTGGGTGGTGGAAAATAAACGGACAGATCAGAAAAAAAATTAAAATTAAATAGTAAATGGCTTTTTACGGAAATTACTCTTCAATACTATAAAGATAAGGCTCATAGTCAGTCTGTCTATCTCTTTCAGAGTCAATTTTGGTAAGCTTCAAGTTATGAACGCAACCCGCACGCACCTCAACTAAGTCTGCTATGACTTGCTTAAAATGCGATACCGCTAATACACGCATTGATCAGCAGCAGCTACATTAAAGTTATTGTCAAAAAGCTCAAAAATTAGCTCCGTCAAGTAAGCCCCCCCACCCCCATTCGACTTTTCTAACAAAATTGCAACCACTTTGAACTGTGCTGTTCTGATACCAAAATTCTAGGGGGAACAAGATGAGGGGCCAACTTGACGCTCAGCCCTCCCAAAATGTTGGAAATCCAATCAAACAAAAATGAGTTCTTATGCAATCGGAAGTGTGCTGAACTGTGCTGTATCAGGTTTTTCTCAAAATTTTCATATTCGGTCATTTTCCGACAAAATCCTTCTGGGGGTGCTAACTTGACGCTCAGCCCCCCAAAGTTTTGGAAATCAGATGAAACAAAAATGGATTCTTATGCAATCTGAAGTGTGCTGGACTGTGCTGTATTAGGTTTTTCTCGAAATTTCCATATTCGGTAATTTTCAGGCAAAATCCTATTGGGGGGGCTAACATAACGCTCAGCCCTCAAAATTATGGAAATAAGATGAAAAAAAATTGACTCTTATGCAATCTGAAGTGCGCTGTATCAGGTTTCTCAAAATTCCCATATTCGGTCATTTCCTGACAAATTCCTACTGGGAGAGCTAACTTGACCCTGAGCCCCCCCAAAAATTTTGGAAATCAAACCAAAATTGATTCTTATGCAATCTGAAGTGTGCTGGACCTGTGTTGTATCAGGTTTTTCTGAAAATTTTTATATTCGGTAATTTTTCGACAAAATCCTACTGGGAAGGCTAACTTGACGCTCAGCCTCCCAACATTTTAGAAATAAGATGAAACAAAAACGGATTCTTATGCAATCTGAAGTATGCTGAACTGTGCTGCATCAGGTTTTCCTCAAAATTTCTATATTCGGTCATTTTCTGACAAAATCCTACTGAGGAGGTAACTTGATGCTCAGCCCCTTGCCAAGAAAACGCACGACCGTGAAAATTTTCAAAAAAAAGGCGCCGCTTCAATATCTTGGATCCCTGCCAAGGGGGGCGCTGGATAATTCCCATTTTCTAAAAGTGGGCGGTAGGTTAAAAAAGTTTGGGAACCACTGGTCTATAGGTTTCAAATTTAAATATTGTAGGTATTTGTTTACCTCTATCTTTAAATTCTTTTCTTTTTTTCCAAATACTTAATTCCACTTCACGATTCACTTTTATTTTGACAACAAGCTCATTAACAATAATTTTGAATTAAAATCTGGATTGAGCTCGGTATTAATGGTTCATTGAAAAATCCAGTTTCACTGTCTAACTTTCTACAGAGGTAAAATCTTCTTGTTTAGTTATATCCAACTGAGCATTCAACACAACACCTAGATACCTATTCATATCCGAATTAAATTCTACAGAACTTCTCTCCTCCAGTTTTTGATGACCAAAGTTTCATGTTTTCTATAGTAATGCTTAAGCAACTACTGCATTCGCTTCTTGATTAGGGAGAGGAACTACTCCTGGCCACTATGAGGTACTTACTTACCGAATATGTTGTGGGAGAATGTCCTGAGATATCTACCGCAGTCCTTTTCCAGGAGGAACCGGACAAGTACTTCTTGAGTTCTCTTCAGTTCTCTTCGAGATCGTGTCTTCAAGCCTTTCTTGGAAGAGCATGTAAGTCGAGTCGAATATTGTTCAGCGAGCACTTCAATGGTCAATATAGTCTTGTGTAAGTTAAATGTCAATAAACCATGGTCGTATCATTTTGTCCTTGTCCTCATTAAGAGAACCTACTAGGCAGTTGAGCTCTACTGAAATTATGCTACAGAATATACAATATAACCTTTGATACTGCAACAAAGTTATAAATTCATAATCAAAGTGTTATGGATTACGCAATACATGATGTATTCAAAAAATTAAATGAATTCTAAAAATAGCAAGTTGCAGCATTTTTGACTAACAGAAGGTTTCAGTGGCATTTTATTATTCCTTCGCGTTCCCTCCATTTCGGAAGTATTATGGGAAGCTTTAGTTGAACTAGTCAAGCGGTATCTGGAACGAGTAATCAACAATACTTTTTTAACCTTTGAAGAGTATTATGCTCTACTCGCTCAGCTATAGGCTGTTGATTTGATCGACCAATGATCCAGTTGACATGGAATTTCTGAGCCTGGTCTTTGATCGGCCGAGTTAACACTTTTCCCGAATTGAATCAAGTGCCAAATAATCGCTCATACAGTAAATTACCTAGCATTTTTGATTGGACAAGGTGGCCCTCCGAATACTTACATAGGTATTCTCTATCCTTCTTTCAACGTACTCAGTATTATTAAGGTGAGTCTTATGTCGTTAAATGGTCTTTCAAGTAGCGCACCTGGCTTTTCTTCCAACACTATTGTCTATAAGGCTATTGCTATTACAACAAAACGTTATCACCAGAATTTCGCACATTCTTCATATTACTTCAAATAAGACACCTGTACAAAAATGTTTCTCTATGGAAAGTTCCAGGTCGAAGTATGGATTTAAATCGACAAATCATTTTCAATTGACACTTACCACCAAAGCCAGCGGCACGTTGAGCGGCCCATGTTGCGAAGATTGGCTCGCCCATCGCAGACATAGTTCCTAAAAGTAGAGTAATTAATGTGTTTTATGAAAAACTAGACCAATTTATGAATTCTTTATATCGTGGAAAAGCAGATAAAAACGCAAAGGCTAAAGGCTTGTTTGTTCATCAACAGTTTTTTTTTAAAAGTCAATTCTTATAATTAAGTTAATGGAAAATAAAACTAATCGCATAGTTACAAAAATTTAATGAACCCCTAAGAAAATAATGTACTCACCCAAGAATTTCCCACTTAACTTATCGTTCCGTTACATTTAAAAGTTTTCTTTGAGGAGTTTGAGCCGCAACTCAACGCGTATACCATAAAACAAATGTTTTATATCTTTAAGACAACTAGGATTATCTGAAATTAATTAAAATCCCCTTTAAGGAGTTTGTCTTGGTAAGGATTCAACAAAAAGATATAAGGATAAACCAATTATAAACGTTATAATAAGGATAAACCAATTAAGAACGTCTAATGTACTAATAATTCATCTAAAGATAGTTTTTGTCATTTGTGTAAATTGTTTATTAAAACAGTTGTGATTTTTAGCAGAAAAATCAGAAGAAAGAGGGCATAAATGCAAAGTAGAACAGAGTTATTTTACCAATAAGCAAAACTTTTTAGGTGAATCAATTACCGACTCCAAGAGTTAAAAGCAAATTGAAGATTGGCTACCAATCGGTTTAGTCAAGGCCAAGGAGTCAAAATGAGAAATTGTGCTCCGATTTCAGAAATATATCACTAAACCTATACTCGGCTCACTACCTACCTCACAAAACTCACCCGCGAACAAAATTACCCTGGTAAACAATCAAAAAAAAATATGTATCTATTTATTTATTTTTAATACGGGATAACCCCATTAACAGCAAAATTACAACAAAAAAGAATAATTTGGTTAGGTATACATTATAAAACCTGCAGCAAGTAAGCGTTAACATTAAAAGAAAAACAAGAAACAACAAAAATTAAAACTTAAGGAAAAACAATCTAAGCTACTAAAAAAAAAATATATATACCGGGTGGGCTAGCGAAAACGAAACAAGGTCGATATCTCGTATTGATCGTTCATTGAAAAAAATCGCTCGGACCCGTCGATTTTTATTCGGAGGGGGAAATCTTTTGCACATATTTCCAATGTTGTCACTTCAACCCTCTCGCAGGGGTAAGCGCCAACCCCTAAATCTTAAATGGCAGTAGGGGTCGAGCTATACCTCATTTCAAAGGTCATCAAATTCTCTTTTCAACGGTGCCTATTTTTTTGAATTTGATGCAGTGGTTTTCGAGAAGACGCATTTAAGAATAGACGGAACTAGTACAGTTTTAGTCATTTTGAGCACTTTCAATTTTGTAGTTATAATAATTTTTACTTAAGAAGTAATTTTATGTGTTTTTTTCTAAAGTCGTGTGCTATCCAACTTGAAATCACAAGGTTTAAGTCTAGGTTTTTTTTATCACTCAATAAAATTCATTCAAAGACATTCTAATTTTAAATATTTTTTGAAAAAAAAAACTTAGTAAATCCAAAAAACTAGGCACCGTTGAAAAGAGAATTCGATGACCTTGGAAATGAGGTATCGCTCGACCCCTACTGCCATTTAAGATTTAGGGGTTGGAGCTTACCCCCGCGAGAGGGTTGAAGTGACAACATTGAAAATATGTTCAAAAGATTTCCACCTCCGAAAAAAATCGACGGGTCCGAGCGATTTTTTTCAATGAACGATCAATACGAGATATCGACCTTGTTTCTTTTTCGCTGGCCCACCCGGTATATACTTAAGGAGAAAAAAACAAAAATAAAATACATTTAAACCTACATAATTTAATAGTAGGAGAGCCGGCAATATTAACGGGTATGTGATCGTTGCAATGGATAATTTTCACATAAAAGAATATCTCATAGTTACCTTTAAACTAAATGGATGGGTGGCCTCGATTCTCATGGCCGCAACCCTTTGATGGCTGAGAGTAAACTACCCGTCTTTTTCCGAAGGAACAATTTTATCGTTGCAATAGCTGAAAATTGGTAGATATATTCTTTAATATGTCTTCTCAAATAATATATAGGGTGGCCTCGATTTTGATGGCCGGAAATGACGGCAACCCTCATTGAAAGTCGAGCGCACGCGTTATTTTGCTTGCTAAATACACATTTTTGAAAGTGACAGCCTTCAAAGTCACTTTTAAAGTTAAAAGAGGACTCTGTGAAGATGATTTTGCATACGGCTGTAGGTCTTTAGACAAAAAAGAAACATGAAATTGTGTTAATAAAGAGTTTGCCGCATATGATGAGAACCCCCTACACCGCAAGGTACTTCTAATTTGTTGCGCTTATGGTTCTTGGAGTATCTTTTTATAAAACAACTTTACGGCCATGAGAATCGAGGCAACCCATCCATTTGGTTTAAAGGTTACTATGAACTATTGTTTTATGTAGAAATTATCCATTGCAACGAATACATACCCGTTTAGTATTGCCGGCTCTTGGACTATAAAAGATCTGGGCTGTCAATCGACCCATTTACAATTTTATAAATGAAAATCGCATCAAACACATCTTGGCGATTTCGCAAAGGACTTAGGGATAGTTGACGGCGACGCTGAATATCATCGTAGTCATGGTCAATGATTGTAAGAAAATCATACCTTAAAGCACATATTTTCAAAAATTTATGTTGCACTCTTTCCAATAATGCAGACAGTGAACATGAAAAAAGGGAGACCACACAACTGGACAATACTCTAGCACTGACCGCACTAAAGAGCAGTAAACAAGCCTCACTGACTCAACAGAAAAATTCTTGCGGTTTCTACCAATAAAACCCAAGTTTTTGGACCCCCATAAACTAAATATATAAAAAACAATCAAAAATATAATATTAATCAACAAAAATATTGAATAGCAGTGGCGAACAATGTCCACCCTGTGGTACTCCTGATGTAACATAGATAATATCAGAGAAAAAAATGCCAATCTTAACCCGTTGGACACGGCCCCTCAAAGAACTCTCGAACCATACAAGACCAAAGTTGAATCCAAATTTTTGTAGTTTTTTTAAGCAATATATGATGATCAACTCGATTAAAAGCTTTCGAGAAGTCTTTGTAAATCGCGTCTATTTGCTTCCTGTTCTCCATGCTAAGTAAAATATCAGACTGATAAGTTATGAGGTTGGTTGCAGTTGACCTGCCCTCTGAGAAGCCATGCTGTTTTTGAGAAATAAGGCCTTTGCACTACCAATGCAATTGTTTACTAACGAGACAGTCAAACAGTTTAGGTATAGCTGATTGGATACATATACTGCGATAGTTTTCCACATTGACCTTTTTACCGCTCTTGAGTATTGGAACAATGTGACTAACTTTCCATTTGTCAGGAAATGTAGATAACTTCAAAGACTTATTATATGTATAGTAAATGCAAATGGTACAGACACATTGTTTTGATAGAAAATTTGTTATTCCATCAGGTCCGGAAGTAAGTTTGTTTGGCAGTTTGCTAATCTCATTGAAGATATCAGTTTTTGAAATTTCGGAATAATTAATGTTGTAGCTTAAGTTGTAATCATTAAAGTCTGAAGAAAGATCGGTAGAAGACGTATTTTTCGTGTAAACAGTTTGGAAGAATTCTTTGAAGAGATTGGCTATGTCCTGGCCATTATGAGCAGACTGGGCACCATAAAAAAAGCACTGGGCAAACTATGACTTGATCTCTTATCTTTAATATACTTCCAAAAAGACTTAAGGTCTTCCTTCAGCTTGAGATCGATACTCCTAATGTAAACATCAAAACAGTGCTCTGAAAGTTTTTTACATTTTGAACGAAGCTTCGAAAACCTTAAATAATTATCTTCGGAACGATCCTTGATTTAGAAGGTGTGAGCATATTTCTTCTCAACAGTTAGTTTCCTTAACTCAGACAAAAACCACTTTGTAAAAGAAGATATTTTATACTTTTTTAGCGGTATAAAAAAAGCAATACCAGTAGACAGAATTTCATAAAATAGATTAGTGCTCTCATTAACATCATTATTACCCAGTAATGTTACCCAATTTATAGAAGCCAGATAATTATTCAGTTCTCTATAGTTATTACGAAAGTCATAGTAAAATTCATCGTATGAAAGAATCTCATCTTTACAATTATGGGAAATAGATATTACACATTCATAGCTCATGTGATGCATATTTAAATCTAAAAGAGAATCACATGCCCTTCTTAAATCTAAGGGTTTAATATTGGAAAAAACTAAATCTAAAAAAACACCTCGATTATTTGGTATGTTATTATGTTGTGTATGTATGTGTTATGCGATTGTACTTTGTCCCTAATAAATATCAGCACACCCCCACCGCTAGCTTTTTTACTAGTCATAGAATTTCTGTCCCTTCGATATAGGCAAAAACCTTGGCAATTGACTTCACTGTCGGAGATAAATTCAGTTAGGTCACTTTCTACCAGGATAATTACATCACGCACAACAAGCTACTTTTTGTAAGAGATCATTTAATTTGGTTCTTAGCCCTCCTACATTTTGGAAGTAAATGGTTAATGGGGTGCTGATATGTTTTTTTGTTGCTTGGGCTCAGCCACAGGATTCCCATTACGGAACCTGAACCTTATGATTATATTTTCCTCACCCGCAGCTTTTCTACTATCAAACAATGTTTTCACTTTTTTATAAGCCTCCTGTTGCATTGGCGTCTGATCAGTAGAGATTCTAAATTACGTACCCAGCAGTTTCTTACCAGATTCAATTGCTTGTTTCACAGTGTCGACAGTGTAAACAACCTTAACAGGTCTTGACTTGGTCCTATTTCCATTTTTGCCCACACGCAGCACTTTACTGATATCAGGAAACCCATCACTCAACCCTAGCTTGGCAAATATTTCAGAGACAACAGATTTATCCGCAGTAATTCGCTCTTCAAGCACTGAGGAGTTTGACTCGGGCATATTATAAATCATGAGATTCTGAGCATGAGTGACTCGCTGTCCACCTTCATGGACCATGGATTCAGCATTTAACGATTTCTCCTTTTCTGAGACAGCTACTTTCTGTTGCAAGGCTTGTATTTCCTCCCAGCGCCGGTTTTACCACTAGGCGGACTAGGCGGCCGCCTAGGGCCCGGATGCTCAATGGGGCACGAAATTCACTCTGAAATCAAATATCTTATTTTGGCAATCTGCGCCCTGAGACGCACCACACCACCCGAATTACGCACACTATCGGCAACACTGTTCTGTAGCTGTAGGATTACCAACTCAGGTAGAGTCCACCCAACCTTATGTCATGTTGCTAATGAACATCCGTTAAACGAGTAATAGATAATAGATACGAGATGTTTCACTACCCAAACCGCACACAAAGTCTTGAAAACGTCTTTTCTAGGGTCTGCATTACGTCTGAACGTCTGAAGACCAAAAAAAGACGCCTAGAAGACGTTGTTTTGAAGATGTCCATATAAAATGTCCTAAATTCATCTTTTTCTTCTTCAAGCCTGAAAGTATGGATAATGATTAATGTATTGAAAAGAGATTCAAAAACGTCTTTGATAAATCTCGTTGAAGAAGTCTTTAGAATGTCTTAGTGCTAAAGACATCTTTAGGCAAATCTCTGGAAGACGTTGGGTTTTGTTACAGTACGAATTACGACGTCTTCAAGATTTCTTTGAGACGTAGGCAAGACGTCTCGAATGTCTTTTATGGACATCTTAGAGACGTCTTTAAGAAAAATTTCCCACAGGATTAGTTTCTCATTTAATTTAGAAGAGACTGGAAACCATTTAAAATGCTACAGAACACTTTAGAACTTCAATAGGCCTTTTGGAAAGTTCAAAACATTTAAAATTAAATTCAGAATTTCCAAAAGCATTCTGTAGCGCTTCAGAAAATTTTGGTAATTTCAGAACCATTTTAGAATGCCTCAAAACATTCAAACGCCGATTTCCAAAGGCATTTTAGAACAACTCAGAAGTTTGAAACCCATTTTAGGACGCTCCAAAGCACTTAAACTCAGACACTCTAGAATCCCCAGAAACATTTTGAAAAGCGCTAGAATCTTAGATTAAAAGTTACAAAACGCCTTTCAGAAGGCTTTTAAGAGCAAATTTAGATTGCTGTAGAACTTTAGAACTCTTTAAAGGCATTTAAAACAGTTCAAATCTAAATCAGAGTGTTCAGGAGCAATTTGGAGCAATTGAGAAACTTCAGAGTTATTTTAGAACAATTTTAATTTAAAGTTCTAAATTGAATCCTAATTTAGAAATTACTGAAAAACTTCTAGAATGCTCCAGAACTCTTCAAGCCAACTTCGAACACTTTAGAACTTCAAAAAGCCATTTAGAACGTTCCAAAACACTTTCCAGCAGCATTTTCAAAGGCTTTTTTTTTAAATTTGGACAAAAACAGTAAAAAGTTACTTTGGGCTAAGGCCCCATACCTTCTGCCGCCTAGGGCCCGGTAGGCCTTGAACCGGCGCTGTTTCCTCCTCCATCCTTATCATTTTTCTGACCATGAGGGGCACACTTCTAAATGCCTCTCGACAATCAACACAGAAATACATAAGGGTACGCTTCTGCAGTACCACAGCTCTCGACTCGGACATGGAAAGGTCGGAACATTTTTCAGCCAAATGTACTCGAACTCTGCAGCTATCACAAGCAACTGTTTGCTTTTCATCCACTCCCAAATCAACTTGGCAAACAGAACAGTTATTGTGAGGCATTTTGGATTCTAACCTAAATAATATTCATGTATATTACGGTCCACAAGGCAAAGGCAGCGATCAATATTTTCAAAAAAATATAACTACTTTTGATAAAAAAAAATCAAAAAAACTTGCAATAAAATATTTAGTCTATGTGCTAAAATCTTCTCCTGCTATTTCTAAGAAATGTTAAGCATTAAGTTGAACCGAATGTTGCAATTTCCTTCTTTACCGGAATCCATAAATCAACATTTATTGGGGCAATTGCTGTTATTAAACGAACCACGATTTTATAATGATTTTTTTAAATTAGTTTCTTGCCAATTGATTGAATCTTTTGTTTTCTTGGAAATATTAATTAGAATGTCATAAGTGTGCTTATCACTTGAGACAAGACTGGCAATTCCTTAATTATTCATTATTTTAATTTGAACTTACAAAATCTTTCATTTCGAAAAATGGCTGCTGATGCTATTGAGAATTTCTAGCTAGCGCTCAGCTTTCAAAATAAATTTGATTGATATACCTGCTCACACATTTATTTTTTGGGGACATAGGTGTGTACCTCGGAAATCTAATAGGGGTATATTGTGTTCAGATATTCGCAGTTTTCGTGAAAATCATCCTCCGACTGATAGATTTTTTGTGTAGATGATCATTATCGTAGTAAGTACCACTTTTCAGAATTTGACGTTCCCCATATTTGTATATGCGATGACATATAGGAGTAATGAAATTATTGAGATGTAGTTGGTAGGAGCTGTAACACTAACTAATAAATAAGGCATCACTTTCTTGGAGGTTTAATAGAAGAAGAGCAAAGCTAATATATAGAGTTCCACTCTAGTAGGTATACCTTATCATCCAGGCAGTACCCTAGAAAACGTTGGGTCGAGGTGGATTTTCATGGTAAAAGTCCCCCATATTTGTTATGTGATGACATAATAAGTAGGAGTTATGAGATTATTGAGATGTAGTAGGTACGAGCTGTAACACTAATAAATAAGGCATCACTTTCTTGGAAGTTCAAAAGAAGGAGAGCAAAGCTATTATATAGAGTCCCACACTAGTATACTTTATCATCCAGGCAGAACCCTGGAAAACGTGTTGGGTCGAGGAGGATCTTCATGGTAAAACCAAGGAAAGGTCATTCGAGGGACATTTCTTGGAAATTATTTGAAAAAAACTGTTTAGCAGCACCATCTAAAACAAAATTTAGGAAATTTTTTCACTGTAACTTTTTTCATGAACACATTAATACACTATATTCATAAAAAATATTCATATCAATATACCAATTAAATAATGCAATAAAACGCCAATTTTTATCAAACCAGAAACATTACGAATGCAACTGATAAAAAAATCCCACAGGGCAAACCATAATCAGTAGTACTTTACAAAGAACAATAAATTTAACTCATCGGACTAATGAAAACAGTAGTAGCTAATTTATAACGAGACACACCGCACCGTCAACGGTCTGACCGCATAAAAGATCGACCAGTACCAAACTAAAGTCGTACGGGTACCAAAACCACTTACCACTTAGTTATCTCCGGACCTTCCGATTGATCGTTCGGTATGAGATTTTCTTTGTAAACGGTGGTGGTGCCGTTGTCGGATACCTTGTAAAGGGGCCCTGGGTTTTAGGCCAGACACACTTACACCCAATTAAGGTATGTTGAAAGTATTAATATTATGTGGATCAGGATTCGACTTTAATAAAAATTGCTTATTGTTATTTTTAATTTAAAAGAATCTGGAACAAGTTATGGGAAGTACTTATTTACTTAAATGTTTATCTAACAACCATTGATATTATTTGACGAGATTTTAATAGGTACTTAGGTATCTATGATGTCACTAAGAAGTTTTGGTTTACAAGATAGAATGCGCTTCTAATTAAGAAATTTCTGCGTTTTGCTAATTGTAACACATTTCCTAATCTGCATTAAACAAGTTTATTTACCAATCCTTTTCAAGTCTAGACGACTTGAGCATTGCTTATATGATTTAATTATTGAGAATATCCGCGAGGCAGCTATATTGAATATATTATACAAACACACTTCGTCTAGTCTAGCATAAACAATTTATTAATGTGATAGAGCTCGTTTTAAGTGCGTTTTATATTATTTATTTCTCACATAATCATTGCGATCAGATAATAGAAGGGAGCAAAATGCATCATTCTCGAATGTAATTGAAGAAATGGCATTTTGCTCCAGTAGTGAGATTTTCGCTACTTAAAGGTAGGTAGGTACTATCTTTGACTGCGTTCACATACACTTCATTTTAATTCCTATGAAATTGATCAAGGAAGTAGTGAAACTGAGATCACAGCATTCAATTGCGCATAGGTTTCTTCTTCAGTTCTTCTTGTTTATCGTGTAATTGAGGAATCAGTACTTTGGGCTTAAAAGACCAATTTGGGCTTAAAAGACCAGTTTTGCCAAGGATACGAACATATAGGGCAAACAACAAACAACTGAGAAATCAAAACAGAAATACAAGATAAAGACAATCCAGCTCTGGTATTGACGAAGTTATATTATTACACCTAACACCTATTTTCGAGCTCTGAAAGTGAAGAAATTCCCAAAGCTTCTGTACTGCACGCGACTGTATGAAGTGAATATGCCGGATCATTTCCTGAAATTAATCTATTTACCTACATATTTCAATATGAATTCGCAACTGGAAACAAACTTGATGACAACGAAATAGGAAATAAACCAATCGAAGAAGGGAATTGGTCTGATCAAGTCTTTATCCGCTCACAAATTAATAATAATGATATGTTCATGAAAAATAATTACACGCCAAGCATATATTAGCTTTATTAAATATAAAACAAAAATAGTCATAATGGAAAAAGTAATTTGGAATTCAAATTTCACACTGTCTTTCCACAATAATTAATAGTTTCCGTTTTTTTTCTAGCATCATGCCAAACCATCTAAAACCCACCATCACCCTCATAGTAATCCTCCTAACAATAAAACTATCAAACTGTGATACGCACCCTTATAAAAAACAAAAACCCAACATAATCCTTTTTCTAACTGATGACCAGGACGTCGAATTAGGCTCTTTGAATTTCATGCCGAAAACACTGAAAAATATCCGAGAAAACGGTTTGGAATTTCGGCATGCCTATGTTACTACCCCAATGTGCTGTCCTTCTCGAAGTTCATTGCTGACAGGAATGTACGTGCATAATCACGAAGTATTTACTAATAAGGATAATTGTTCGAGTAGTCAATGGCAAGCCACACATGAGACGAAAAGCTTTGCTACCTATTTATCAAATGCTGGCTACAGAACTGGTAAGTAATCCTTATGTATATTTATAAAATAGGTACTAATGTTTATATGCCTGTGTCGTCGTAGACAATTGTTCTTTTTACACAAATAATTTTTATGTAAGTACCATTCCTGATTAGTCATCGGTCTGAAGTTCCATCACTACCCCGTGCCTGGCAGCCTGGCGTTTCTGAATTTTTCAAGTACGCCCGCCAAAGCTATTAATCCGAATTCGAAACTCGGAGATGGCCGAATTCGAAACTCGGAGATGGAACCAGTATGGCGTCCATGTACGCTAGGGCTGTTGAATACCTCATTGAGCCTAAAATCTGGTTGGTTGTCCTTTGGAATATGGCTGGTGCGTTGACTAATCCAAATGGCATCCGAAGATACTCGTACTGCCAGTCCGGTGTAACGAATGCTGTTTTATGTACTGAATCCTCAGCTATTCTTATTTGATGATAGCCGCTCGCCATATCCAGCGTGGTAAAATTCTTACATCCTTTCATTGTTTCAAGATGATTTATGGCGCGATAACCGACGCACACGTGCGTTTCTCCGTTTTTCTTTTTCTGATGCTTACCAGTAATCCTTCAGCAACTGTAACCGCTTCTTGATTGGGAATTGGAACTACTTCTAGCCCCTTTGCATAATAGTTAATAGCAACCAAGCTACCATGAGGTACCTACTTGTCCTCCGAATATGTTGCAGGAAAAGGACCAGCAAAAGCTACTGCCATTTTCTAGGGAGAACTTTTGTCGAAGCACCGAGGTCGCATCTTTTGCACCATTCTTTAAAATGCCTACGATAGTTGATCTAGTAAAACTGATCGCTAACTCGAACCATCGTACTATTGACTTCAAAGTGGCAACCACTCCGACAACTATGTAGTTTACGTAGCACTCTCTCCTAGCCTAGCCATCAGTCAAACAAAATCTCCAATTACTTTTCATCATTCTGGTCTTCCTCGAAGTCTTCCTTGGTAATGTCGTCAGAATTAGTATCAGTTCCAGTATTCTTAACTATTTAGTTGTTGAACAAGTCCAGAGTTTTCGATTGCTTCCTTTCCTTCTTGCCTCTGACAAAATTTGCAAAAGTTATTAATACATGAACTTCTGAGTTTCTTATCTCCGCCTTTCCCAGGGATTTTAATATCTAATGACTACTTGGCCATTTCGGATTCGGGAAAGAACATTTTTTTGCGAGCGAAAGGAAATCATCATGGTGGCGTATAGGTGTGACCCTTAGGGTGAGTTCTCATGAGCGTAAGTTGACATTTCTGGCGTAATCACGTAATAAAATGGTTGGGTCTTATTGGAAAAATATTTGACGGGTTGGATATTTTACCAATCAAATTACACCATATTTTCACGTGATTACGCCAGAAATGTCAACTTACGCTCATGAGAATTCGCCCTTAGGGTGAGTTCTCATGAGCGTAAGTTGACATTTCTGGCGTAATCACGTAATAATATGGTGTAATTTGATTGGTAAAATCCAAGGTAAAATCTCCAGCATGGCGAATATTTCACCAATGAAATTAAACCATTTCATCACGTGATTACGCTAGAAATGTCAACTTACGCTCATGATAACTCGCCCTTAGTGTGACCCCCGTTTTGCCGCGATGTTCTACCAGATTGGTTCGCCGAGTGGGCCAGATGACATTCCTGTTTCTTTAGTTAAAAACTGGGAATGAATATCCCAGTAATGATCTGAGGCGCAATAGACATTTTTTAACGTAAAAATATTGTCAAAGTCTCTCAAAGACCTGATCATAAAACTTAACATTTTTAGATTCTTGTTTGTAAAAGTGTCAATATGATCAGTAAATGTTGGTTCTGAATCAAAGAAATTCAAAGTCTGATAGTTTCAACTCTCATAATTTTATCATTATTAAGAAAATAAGTATAAATATAAGGTGACTTATTCTTCCTTGAAAAGGTAATAATTTTACATTTTTCAATATTTAAATAAAGTTATTAGTACACCAGTTAGAAAATCTATCAAGGTCACTTTGTAAATTTTAGGCATCCTGGCTTCTCATGACATGAAACATTTCAAATCATCAGCAAGTCACTTCTATCACCGTTTTTGAAGATAGGTGAAAAATAACTAACTCCCACTTACTTGGAAATTGCCCCCAAGACTACTGATTTATTGAAGGCTTTACACAAAATCTCTGAGAACACAAAACTACAGTTTTTAACTAAAGAAACAGGAATGTCATCTGGCCCACTCGGCGAACCAATCTGGTAGAACATCCCGGCAAAACGGGGGTCACACTAAGGGCGAGTTGTCATGAGCGTAAGTTGACATTTCTAGCGTAATCGCGTGATAAAATGGTTAAATTTCATTGGTGAAATATTCGCCATGCTGGAGATTTTACCTTGGATTTTACCAATCAAATTACACCATATTATTACGTGATTACGCCAGAAATGTCAACTTACGCTCATGATAACTCGCCCTTAGTGTGATTCCCGTTTTGCCGCGATGTTCTACCAGATTGGTTCGCCGAGTGGGCCAGATGACATTCCTGTTTCTTTAGTTAAAAACTGTAGTTTTGTGTTCTCAGAGATTTTGTGTAAAACCTTCAATAAATCAGTAGTATTGGGGGCAATTTCCAAGTAAGTGAGAGTTAGTTATTTTTCACCTATCTTCAAAAACGGTGATAGAAGTGACAATAATAACTACAGAGCCATTTCAAAAGTTTCAGTCCTCTCAAAGATATTCGAATCAATATTAACTAACTATTTAACACCCTACTTCACCTAATTACGCTAAAACAGCATGGCTTTGTAAGAGGTAGGTCAACATTGACAAACCTACTGGTATATGGTATATCAAGAGGGTCTGTTGAAGGGCTTGGAGAATAGGTACCAGATTGACCGACTTCTCTAAGGCACAAGGACAGAGTTAATCATAAAATCATGATAAACAAACTGGGGTGCTCATGGTGTGCATGAATGCTTCCTTATATTGTTGAGAAGTCTGCTAACAGGTAGAAAGCAGGCGGTAAGGGTGGAAAACTATACATTTCCTCAACGTTTCTGGGTGCCTCTGGTGTGCCCCAGGGCAGCCACTTGTCGCCTTTGTTTTCAGCATTTTTTTGAATGACCTGGAAGAGGTTTGTCAATACTGTTCTTTTCTTTGTCTTGCTGATGATTTGAAATGTTTCATGTCATGAGAAGCCAGGATGCCTAAAATTTACAAAGTGACCTTGATAGATTTTCTGGTGTACTAATAACTTTATTTAAATATTGAAAAATGTAAAATTATTACCTTTTCAAGGAAGAATAAGTCACCTTATATTTATACTTATTTTCTTAATAATGATAAAATTATGAGAGTTGAAACAATCAGAGACTTTGAATTTCTTTGATTCAGAACCAACATTTACTGATCATATTGACACTTTTACAAACAAGACGTTAAAAATGTTAAGTTTTATGATCAGGTCTTTGAGAGACTTTGACAATATTTTTACGTTAAAAAATGTCTATTGCGCCTCAGATCATTACTGGAATATTCATGCCCAGTTTGGTCGCCACATTATGAAATTTATAAAATTCGTCTTGAGAGAATTGAAAGAAAATTCCTCAGATATATTGCATTTAAATTGGGTATACCAAGGATCTTCCCTCCCCCCCTCCCCCCCATTAATTTCATTGACTTAATGTCGCTTCCTAACTTAACTTCATTAATTAGCACAACGTCGACAAACCTTCGATCTTTGTATGGTTTTCAAAATAGTGTTACTTGACGTGCGCCCGACATAGCAAATATTTGGGAAATTTAAGGGAAGCTGTGATATGTAAAAGAAACGAAAAATTTTTGGAACGTCTACTTTATTATTGAAGTAACTCGTACCGTTCTCATCCTGGAACTAACGAGAGGAAAGAGCACGGCAGAGAAACCCTCGATCTACATTCCTCAAAAATCAAAACATACTGTGTCATTTTAATAATAATTGTGAGTCATTAATTCAATAATTTAAGTCAATAAAAGTTTAAATTAGGTACAGCCCCTGTTCTTGTGCTAAAATTTCAATAACACACACTACATGCAATCAACACTACCTATAATCATGACTGAAGAGTTTTTGTTTAGTTAGCCGGTCTGCCGGAGGGTACTGAGGTACCATACGGGATGCTACCTAGCTATAGTTGTTATTTTGAGCCAATATCTCTTTCCTTTGTTTGGTAGGATATTCGCTCATCAGGGTAGGAAAATGTTAGTTAATTCAACCAGGCCCTAATGCAGGTTCTGAATACACAAAATCAGCACAAAAAGACAGCACATAATTTCTTAGGTTTTAATTTACTTCTATATCTGTGTTGTTTACAGCATGAAACGTAACTTTTAAAAACAAAATAACAATTATTTAACTGACCTGTGATCGCTCCTTGACACACACACTAATCACAAATTGGATTGAACGATCAGTTTAATACAAAATATAAATTGAAAAATGAACAATGGCGGACAAACGGTCTAAAGCAGCGGTTCCCAAACTGGGGGGCGCGCCCCCCTGGGGGGGCGTAAAGCAACATTAAGGGGGGCGTGAGTCTTCTAAAAAATTAATACAAGTTTTAAGATTTAAAATAAAAAAATCAGTTAAAATTTAAAAAAAGATGTCTACAATCCGGCAACAGCGCATACCTAAGCCAAACTTTGCCATGCGATAATTGCTACAGCGCACGCTCGCTGCCCACTGTCATGCCCATTTCTCCCCTTCCAAAGTTCAGAACTGCTTTCGGGTGCCATCCGTTGAGCGCTCCCGAGTTACTCCGAAGTACTCCGGCTACAGTTTGACCCGTTCGGTTTCAAGCGTTCGAGTGCAAAACGCATGGAGTATAAAGGACTATTCACACACATCAGTTCCGTATCAGTGCCGTTTCAGTTCAATATCAGTGGCGGTGAAAAATAAAATATCGTTGCCTAGTCTCAAATGAACCTGTTTAGACAAGTCCGGCGCAGTAACGTTTTTTACCATCAGTGCTGCGCCAGTGTCAGTTCC